CTCCATGTATATCAACAATGTAACATGGAAGCCAACAAAGAAATAATATACTTTTGTACTTCAAAAGATCTATATTGCTATCAATATCACCAGTTATGAAACAGATCTAAACCACCTAACTTTGAGATTTTATGACTCTATAATCGCCTAGTTCACAATTTTACTCAGGGCTCCCATAAATCCCCTGTAGTGGACTTACTGGAGACCTTCCTCTAACATGGCTATCAGTCTACACTTGGGCTGTCTATATGCTATCCCTTTCTTCAGTTATCTCATCAGGCTAACATCTTTTCCAATCATAATTTCCTTAAAGATACTTTTAATGCTACTTCTTACACATACATCATTATTGGGACTATACTACAGTCTTCTTATTTCCATGCATTTCCCCATTGCTGTGTGGATCATGGATACATAGTTTCAATTATTTAGAGTTTATGATGATCCATGATTCACATCCAATTGGTAGAATTTGTAGAGAGGCATATTTGGGCTTGATGAAAGGGAAAAGAACCTAATGATTAGAGCCCACATATAAGATGGGCTGACATTCAGGAAACAATGGGTCCCACTTACCTGAGGTCTTTAAGCAAAGACCAGATGACCACTTATTGGGAATGCTATAGAAGAAATTCTCTAGGTATAAGACTGGACTGAATGGCCTCTGAGCTCCCTTACAATTTTGTAATTCTGTGGTTTTGTATTGGAGAGGAGCTTACGAATTGTGCAATTTCCCTAATGCAATACTGACCATTCAATTCACCCTCTTCAGTTCTAGGCCCAATCCAGCTGCAATGCCTATGAAAATTAGATTAACTAATGAACCAGCTCAATGGATTATCCTTCCAGCTGTCATAGTTTAAGGATTAGGAATACTTCATCCATCTTTTACTCCATATAGAAGGCATAGTCATGAATTTCAATGAAGAGGTCCTATAATTTTTTGGGGATTAGCCAACACAATAACATCTGGAAAGAAAAAGGCGTGGCAGGGGACTACACCAGTTATAAGGAATCCTTCTACTTTGGCTCTGCACAGGCTATCCTCCATGACAGCGGGGAATACTTTCAGCAGGCATACGTCTTATTTTATGTCCTACCTGATAAATTATGTTCTTAGGATCACTGAATGAAGTTAACTTGGCCATTTCATTTAATCCCAATATTTTCAGGGCTGTTCTGTGAAAGGATTGAGAGAATCATAGATACAGAACTGGAAGAGACCTCCAAGGTCATGTAGTCTAACCCTCTTGTTTTTCAGGTGAGGAAACTGAGGCCCCAAAAGGTATAGTGACTTGTCTAAGATAGTGCAACTATTAAGCTTCAAGGCTGGGATTCTAACTCAGATACTCTGATTCTGAATCTAGAACAATTTTTTGTACCATGTTCCATCTCAGTTTTGGGGCCCAGTTTTCTTGACCTCTGAAAAAAAGCCTTGTAAGTACTTTGAAATGTCAAAGATCTATAATTTCACCAGTAAGGTACTCCCTCAGCAATACAGATCATAGCCCTCTCTAAATCAATGGATAATCTCTGAAAGTTGCTGTGGCTCCAAAATCTTCACTCTGACACCAAACAGTGATGAACCTCTCTGAACACAGCTCAGCTTAGCCTTGATCAATGGACATAGTCCACCACTAGACTCATACTCTATTAAGTCTTTCCAGCTTGGTAGAGCCTGTCAGGGTTTGTGCTTCCCTGGACTAGCCACCGAAAATCCAGGGTCACCTGCATGCCACGATGAATTAGAGGACTTCAATGGAGGAAAACTGGGTGTAAGGGATGGAAATTTCAAAGAGCCAGATTTCTGCTCTTCTGGAGAATTAGTTTTGTAAAAGTAGAATGGCCTGTCTTAGGAAGTAATAAGTCCCCCATACAGGAGATCTTCAACTAGAGGTTGGATGGCTTTGTTAGGAATACTGCAAATAAGGTTCCTGCTCAAGCATGGATTGGTCAAGATGAACTTTGAGATCTCTTCCAACTTTTTTTTTTGAGACTATAATTATATGATTGCCTACTTCACAATTTCACTCTGACAATGCCACTAAAAATAATTTTGCATGTCACCACATACTATCATACCTTGTAATATACTAAGTAGCTCAATAGGAAGAGATAAGCCTTAATAAACTAACCCAATAGAAGGAGGTCAAATTAAAAAAAAAAGATTCCTTTTTCTTAAACTAGTTTTCCTATGATCTTAAGTTGCACAATTTTCATTGTAATTTAAAGATCTATCAATTAACATCAAAGAATGAAAACTATATTATGCAATTATTGGCACCAGTCCTCTCTTTATAACAAAATAACAGGTAAGGTAGACAGGCATACCATTTCCAAAATTGCCTCTGGAGTATTTTTCAGAAGTGATTAAAACTTTAACAGACTTGGTAACTAAGCCTCCAGAACAGAGACAAATAAAAGCAGATATAACTGAATTTCTGTAACCTACTGCATCCCCTGGTTCTCATCATGGGATCTTGTGTTAAAAAATTCCAGTTTCAGGTGCTTATGTTCTTTATTAAACATACTTCTGAACAAGAGTTTCACGAAGATTTGGAAACATTTCTGAGCAGTTGGTTCTGAGCTGGAGATGTAATCCAGAGATTAGAATGATGTATTTTTACATGACATAGACTACAGTTGTTTTCCAAGTACTAACATGTAAGGTACCTTTAGGCGCATATCATATTTCTCTTTTTAAAAATGCCCTCCAAACTTAGTAACATCTACTTGATGGGCTGAGTTACGGATGCTATTTGGAACAGTGCCATCCACAAGCCACATACAAACATGTAATTATACTAGATTTATCTCAGATCAAAGGATTTTTGTGTTCTGATTTCATTTTAAAGTTTGGTACTTTGCTTCATATCTTTTTGCTTTAAATTGTTGGGTTGTAGGCAGAGCAACTGGTTACAAAGGGCAGATTCCATTTCCTATGCTTTCTTAACTTTGCCCTTGGAAAATTAACCATCAAATAAAAAAAGATATGGAACTAATTTATAACACGAATATTTCTTTTCCTGTGAATTTGCTGAACAAAGCTGTAGCTTATCAACTTTCCTAGACAATGTATCACATTGCTTGTCAGATCCATAAAATGTCCTTCATACTGTTTCCTTTATATGACTACAGCTAAAGTCTGAATTTTCATTCTAACCCCATTTACCCAAGAATTCTAGTGAGCCTTCATTGTGACTTATACTGACACTGATCAGAATAAGGAGGGTGGGGTTCAAGAACAATCAATTTGGCTGATGCTCAGTGCAAAGCCAATTTCTCCCACCAACATAATTCAGAGAGACATAGAGACTCTTGTAGATAACAGGGACTTGTCTTTGACTTGCTGGGCAGTGTCCCTAGTATAATGCCATGTGCAGTAGGGCACTTAAAAATATGGATAGTTCTAACGTACAGCATAATTTGAGAAATTCCTAAGCATCAATTAAAAACCAAATATCCTGTTCACTAGACCCATAGATTCTTTGCCTATTCCAAAGGTGGAAAGTCCCACAGAAAGCACTCAACTATGGAAAGGAAGCGAGAATTTCCTTTGGTCACCAAAGCCTTCTCATATCCAGTCACATTTTCCCCTTTAATCCTTCTAAAGCTAAATGCTGCATTTGGTTGGGATTGTTCCCAGTACATCAGATTTTTTTTTCCTCAACATATAAGTCATTTTTAAAAGTATAATTTAAAGATTGCAATTTCTCCGAATGTTAATGTTGGGGTTTTTTTTGATAAATCTCCATCAAGGTAGTGAAGATTCCCCATTTCCTTCTATGGATGCTCATCAATTCCCCACTCAGCCACCCATGACCCTTAATACAACAAAGAGGGTTCTGACTGAACTTTTAGGATTCTATCTGGTTGAACATCTGTTTGACTCTTTCCCATAACCCTTGAGATCATGAACTTTGGGAAATTCTCTGAGCTTTTGTTTAACAGTGTAGAGTCAATAGTTTCATTTACCAATGCTTCCATCCATCCATAAGTAATGCTTTTATATATACTATCCATCAGACAAGCAGAGCAAGAAAGCCAACAAATTTACTTGTACAGAATAGCCCAAATGAAAAGTATTAGTTTTCCAAGTAATAATAAAACTGCAAATTCAGGAGAATATATTCCTGATAAACATTGTGTAACTCAAAACTATAACTAGAAACTGAGGGGTAAGAATCTGTGAGCAATAATTTATAATGGTAGTCTTATTAAAACTATTACAAATATTAAACAATTAAAACTATTATTGAGAGGTGAATTGACTGGAGGCAGGAGAACCTGGATTTCAGTCCCATCTCTGACTTATACTAGCTGTGTGACCATGGGGACGTCATCGAAACTCAAATGTGTCCTAGTGTGAAGACTACAAATTACAAACGTAATCTCTTTCTACATCGTAGAGAGATTTTCCTTATCTAGAAATCTTTTTATCAATGAACTCATGGGTCCAGTTCCTGTCTCTACATGCATATTAGAGAAAGATATCAAGAGGTATGAGAGAGGGAAGAGCTAAGAATGGGAGACAAGAGGGTGACAATATTGCAATTTTGCCTATTCTTCCTTTTGGAAAAAAGGAGCCTGAAGAAGAAAAGGGTGCTGTTATTTTTCACCAATGTCTAATTCTGAAGATCTTGGAGAGGAAGGGTTAACTGGGAGGTGTCAGATCACTTCTCTTCATATTGCACCAATTAGTGAGTTATTTAGGTTAATGTTTATCTTTTAAAAAAAATAAAAACATCCTCTTGGGAGGTCTGAAGAAATGGAAGGTGAAATTAATTCTCATCTTGCTATAAATTGCTTTAAGGGGTATAACTGGTATCTATGCATTATCCTGTCATCTCTTGTTATCCATTGTTATTGTTTCACTGGGAGAATAAGGACCATTTATAAAAAGCGACTAGTGACCTTGTTACTGAGGATTTCCTCAACAACTCATTGGGAGTCTGGCTTCTGACTGTCACCACGTTTCCATTGTGGGACTTCCCACAGAGTACACACACACACATGCTGGGGTAGGAACAAATGAAACATGGGCCTCCTGAATTGGTGGCTCATCCCTTTTTCATGGTTTCCTTTGAGATTTGAACTGGATTTCCTTCCTGTGCATTTGGTAGAGTGGAGGCTCCTGAGTGAAGCCAGGACAGGTAAATGGGGTATTTTTACAGCAACTGATTTTGGGAGAATTGAGACTGACTATATAGTGGGTGTTTCCAGTCTGCCAACTGATTTAAGTGCCAGGAGCGAGAGGGTAGGGGGCAAATAACCCAAGACTCTCTGCTCACGAGGAGACTAAGCCTGAGGTCTGAAGTTTTGGGTTGCTCAAAGCATCCCCTAGATGCTATGGGAAAGCTGAGGTCCAGACCTGAAGGGAAGATTCAGGTTGCTGGCAGAGATAGGGAACATCACTATGGAGACAAATTCCAGAATACCAGAGACTGCTGGCTCCTAGGGATAAGAACTAAAAGAGTGATGAGCAGAGGAGAGAGAAATGGACCTTTCTATCTTACTTTTTGAACTCTAAGTTCCCAGCCCCTAACTTCTTCATCAAATCATTTTTACAAACTTGGACTTATGAAAGAAGATGCTATCCACCTTCAGAGGAACATAGGACAGGTGGAAATAAGCATAATATGGTCTTATATATATATATATATGTGTGTGTGTGTGTGTGTGTGTGTATGAATGTATATGTGTATACATATGTATGTTTATAGATACCTATGTATATGTGTGTGTGTACATACATATACACATACACATACTTAATTGTGGCCTTCTTTGGGGTGGGGAGGGAGAGGGAGGAGGAAACAAAGTAAGAAGTGCACAGTAGAGAACAAAAGAAAACCAACAAGAAAGCAAAGAAAAGCTGGGCAGCTTTAAAAACAATGTGTAGTATTTATCATATGAGTTTTCGTGAAGTGGAAATGTATTATTTTATATTGAATCCTCTTTTATGATCTACTGTGTACATGACATTTTTTTTTCTTTTCTCATTTTGCATTTAAGTTTAAAATTTAATAAAAAATTCACCAAAAAAAATAATTTTCCCAATCCTGGAAAGCTAAGAGAATTCCATGGAGGAAGTTCCAATTTTGGAGACAATTGAGTAAAGCTCCCCAGAGAGGAGTGCTTGAAACTTTCTCTGAAATTTTATTACGTTTAATAAAGCATGTGGTTATACAAATCACTATTTGCCTAAGTCTTATGAAAATGGTCAGTCAACAGAAAACAGCAAATTTCCCAGATGCAGAGTAGGAAGTGAGTCAAAGAGCCTTCTATTGTTTAATAGTCCAAAGCTTCATTTCACATCATTTTACTCCTAAACTAAACTCAAACCAAATGAGTGAAGGTTTCCTTTCCTTCCCCAGTCCTCTGAAGCAGTGTGGCTTGGCTGGGTGGGTCACTGGCACAGCTACAGTGAAGTTCTTCAGTGCAGGTGTACTCATTAGTTAATTAATCAACAGCTTTATTTTCTGTAGGCTTACAGAAAGCAGGGTATTGAGCCAGATGTGGGCTGCACTGGCAATTCCGTACCTCATGGGTTACTTGGGATAGCTAGTGCACACTCATTCTACATCAAGTCTCTCACCAAACAACTAAATTCTATCAGGGCACAGATTTGATGCAGGAATATGTAAAGGAGAGGGGGCAGAGGGCGAGGGGGAATCACTCTGAAGCATGCAGTGCCACTGGGTAAAGTAGGCCTGGGCAGCCAAGGCACATCATGAAATCACCTGGCCCCTGGGTTGTTGCTTTGGCTTTTTTAATCAAGGAGAAGAGTGCACAGGAAGTGTAAGGATAGAGAAAGGGAGATGGGAAAGCACAAAAGATTAACCATCTACTTTGCAATATTACTTAGGATCTTAGGGACTTGTATCCACTAAAAATCAGTGCAGTAACACCGTTAATGTGCCAGTTGGTGTGGCAGTTCCTGGCATAAAGAATAAACAGAGTACCACATAAATTGAAATATTGGTCAAAGGTATACAAATGTGTGTATGCAAATCTGTTATTAAAGTCCTATTTCAACCTTCAGTTTAGTATGGAGGTCATTCATGAAGGCTTTGGCAGGGGGAACACAGCTCTGTCAGGGCCTACCAAAAAGAAAAGCTTCAATTCTATCATCCAAGGAGGCTTGCTACCACAAGACTGGATACTAGGTGATAATTGTTTTTAATCACAAGAACTCAGGAAGCTTCATTGATAGGGAGATCAGAAAGGTACTTTGGCACAATGGAAAGAAGGGAAGGAAAAGGAAAGGGAGCAAGCATTTATTAAGTACCTACTATGATCCAGGCATTGCATTAAGCACTTTACAACTATCACCTCATTTGATCATCACAACGACCCTGGGAGGTAGGTGCTATTATTACCCTCATTTTACAGTTGAAGAAACTGAGGCAAACAGAGGTTTTGACTTGCTTAGTGTCACATAGCTAGTAAGAATCTGAGGCTGTATTTCAGCTCAGGTCTTCCTGATACCAGGCCCAGCACTCTATCCACTGCATTGCTTCTGATATAGAGTCAGAGGATCTGAATTGGAATCCTAGCTTTGACATTTACCCATGTGGCCTTGGGCAAATAAATCAATTAACTTTTATGGGCTTTAGTTTCCTCATCTGGAAGGGAGGGGTTTGGATTAGATGACCTTTAAGGTCCCCTCCAGTTCCAAATCTATAATCCTTCCCACAGTGATGAAATCACAGAGGACCTCAGTTCAAATCCCACCCCTAATATTTACTACCTATGTGACCTTAGTCAAGTAATTTAACCTCCCTCGGTCTCAGTTTCTTCATTTGAAAAATGTAGCAGTTGGAACAGATGTCTGCTAAGGTCCCTTCTAGATAATGATCCTAATCCCTTTGATCCTATGTGAATCTGTACCTGATTGCACAAACATTAAATATTCTTTCAATCTCAAATTCAGAGAGAGAAGAGGAAAATATTTTCTCTGAACGAAAGCAGCTGCTCAGAAGACATTAGTCTGAAGAAAGTTTATTTAAAACTTCTCAATCCAAGCTGTGGATCAATTGCTCACTGTGCTACATGGGACTTCTAGTTGCCATTAGCAAATCTTTGAGGTTTGGAAGCATAAGTAGTAATTACATGTACATTGAGAATAGTTAGGTAACACTGATTTTGCTTCCATATGATGCAGCCCTCTTATATTCAGAAGTAAACAGCTGCATTATTCTGGTTTCTTATATCTTAGGAAGTGAATTCTAAAGATTCTCTGACTGCTCTGAACAATGCATTAGTATGAGGTATGCCACCAAGGAGTCAATGCTTACATTTTAACTTTTAATCTGTCCTGTGGAATGTAGAATTTGCTTTAACCTCTATGTTTATTTCTGTTCCAACCAATGGAAATGAAAGGTTTGAGCAGATGCTTTAAGGATACCATATAGGCTATTCACAAACTTTTGTGGTCAGTTTAGCTGCTCTAGTTGTACCCAGTGACTCACTCTAAATTGGTCTTGTGTTCTTAAAATATTGTTTCGGTCTGGTCTTAAACCAAGTTGGCATGTCCATCAGTAACATTACTAGGCTAGAGGAGATCTCTCAAATGATCTGCCCTAGAGAACCTTCTTCATTTTTTCCTAGATTAGTTCAGTATATATCCTGGAGAAAAGAATATGCCTTGACTAAAAATCATTTGCGTGCAAGTTATAGTTCATTTGGAATGAGAAGGATTTCATTGAAATTAGGGACCCTTTGAAATCATGGGACCCAACTTAAAATCTTGGCCCTGCTACTTGTGTGACATGTGGCTCTAAGAAGCTGTGGCATGTGAGTGGCCATGCCCAAGTAAACTGTCATGGCAGACAGGCTAAACCAGGTTGAGGATAACCTATGGGCCTCAAACCCATCAATGAATTAGGAAGATGTCTACCTCAAATGGACATCCCCTAGAAAAAATGGGCAGATGAGAACATGTTGTTCCAATGTTCATGAAGAAGGCTGAAGCAGGCACTGTGGAGAGCTTGGTCAGGCATCAAAGACGCCAAGGTCATCCAGCGCACCCCAGACCATCACCAGTCATCTTTATTTTTGTCTTGCCACTGGACTTTGATGACTCTGGAAGAGAAAATGAAGCTGATGACTTCCTGCAACTCTGCCTCACTTAAATCCAATTGATGCATGAGTGAAGACATCACCCCATGTTGTCATTGGTTTTCTTTGAAACAACAAAGGACAAATAATAACATCTTCTCCTATCTCAGCCTTAATTTCCTTATCAGAAAAATAAGGGGAGGTTGGACTAAATGAGAACCAGGATATATGTTTTTCCCCAACTCTAAATCTATGATTATGTGATGGATGCATTAGCTCCTATTTGAAGTAGGGCAGTTTAATTTTGTTAGAGAATTGCAGAATCTCATCTTACAGCTTTCAGCTAATCTCAGTTAGTAATGGGCAAGGTTATTCTGGACTTAAGCAATCATTATATGGAATCAATATTCTGCAGCAATATTCTACAGATGAGCCTCAAAATAATTTTTCTTTTGTGAATTTCTCATCAATTTATAGTGCAGCTTAAACAAATTGACTTATGGGATTGGAATTTTTTGTTCAAATATATGATTTTTATCAGTGTAGACAATTCCCAAAATAGAAAATTCCTTCAGAAATCAGGTGTAGATAGTCAGTGGCAGAGTCAAGTCTGAACTTGATATGGGGATGGGGGATGGGCTCTGCAGCAGGGCTTAAGGTAAGAAGGCTAGACAACTGGTTGTGATGCGAATCATAGCCTGGACAGTATGGTTTGGGGCCCGATATAGTGGGCAGCTACTACTACTACCACCACCAATAATACCTAGCAATTATGCAGTGATTTAAGTCTTGCAAAGTGATTTCCAGACATCTTGTTTTATCTTCACAACAACTCTGTGATACAGGTGCTATTATTGTCCTCATTTTACAGTTGAGGAAACTGAGGCAGACAGAGATTAAGTGATTTGCCCAGGGTTACAAAGCTATTAAGTATCTGAGGCTTGACCTCAGGTCTTTCTGACTCCAGGTCCAATGCTCTATCCACTGCACCACCTATGTATTATTGTTATTGTTTGTCTTTCATTCTCAGAGAAGACCAATGACATCACAAGGGTGGTGTCTTGACTTGCACACATTGGATATAAGTGAG